GTAGCAATACCAAACGAATAACCTTTTCCTTATCGTGGATCTCTAACAATAAGTAGTGCATTGACATTCTACGTGTATAGACGTATTTAACATGGCAATTAACATTAAATATCAAGGACCGTTTATATCGACATTTTTGTAACAACGCCAAATGCAGTGGATAATTCCCAGCGACATTGCTGGTATTTTTAATCGAAAAACAAAAACACAATACTCTTGAAACCCAATTTAAGGCAGTGTTCTCTGAAATAGAAAAGGAATTCAACCCTTAAAAATTTTATAATCTAAAGAGGGTGCAAGAAAATGTTTACTATTTTAAGCTTACTAAAAAATTTGAAAATAACAAATCCCAACTGATTTTGGTGATTACAATATCACCGAGGAAAAGTACACTGGTTATTTAAAAGCAATTTTCAAGTTCGAAAGTTTGGAAATCGTCGCACGTTCGCTCGACGGGAGTTTAATTTCGCGGATGCACACGCGCGATGCAACGAGATTGAACTCCCTCCAATACGAGGACAATCGCGATTACAGTTAGTTAGATCAGTTACACTTGTGCAAGCAACAGACTACGGTGTATTACGGGGCACGAAAGCGACGCAGTCACGCTCGCGACCGAAACAACGAACGCGTCGCGATAAAATTCACGCCGGAACTTTTTATCGGGCATCAGCGTTTCGTACGGACTACATACGTTGGCCAACAGGGGCACCATCCTGTTAAATAAAGGAACGGAGCAACGAGGAGAATAATCCACCATTGTGTCTTAAATTTTCCCGAGAGCGGAATCTGCTTAACCGAATTTCGTTTGCGAAAGCAGATTATGTTCCAGCGATCGGGGGAACTCGATGGCCCGGACAAAGAAAAACAAATTTCACGTCTCGACGACAGAATCTCTTCGGGAAAAGAATAAACATCGATAACTCTCCCGTCGAAATCGCGCCTCCCTTTGGAAAGACTCGTGGGGGCGAACAACCCCTAACACGACGGATCATTTATTACTTTTTGCGTCATCGAATCTCTCCCCCCTCCTCTATCTTCCCTGCTATCGCGGGATTGACAAAATAAGATGTTTCGCCCGGTACTCTTTATCGCCGCGCGGCGATCAATCTCTTTTTATCAGAAAAAGGCGGCGAGTGTTTCGCCGCGTGAGTGGCCGTTACATTTTCGTCGACAGGGGAAAAACGACCAGCCCATTTTCGCGACGATTTCGTGGAAAATCACGTCGCGTGCCGTGCCCCAACCACCCGCGATTCAATTTTCCCGTAATATTCTGATTTAACGGGGCCGACCGCCTCGAGGAAAGCCGTTCCGAGCGAGCGACGTCTTCGAGGTTCGAGGCTTTCGACGCTCGAGGACTCCCGGGGATAATTGCAACCGGGACCGCAAAAATATTGTCCGCCGTTTGAGTGCGTCGGTTTAATTGCTCGATGAAATTGGTAATTCCGGAGGGGACGAGGACGTCGTGACGTAACCGCTTTTCCAATTACCGTGCGTTCACAACAAGGTGTATTGTTAAGTGGCCATCGACCTTCGACGACCCACTTTTCGCCGTACGCAAATTAACCCTAGAAAGACCAAGGAGGGGTCCACTCTAACAGTCGGGTAATTTTAAAACCAAACTGTTCTCTGGATATTTTTATATTTAACATTTTACGTAGGGTCAGTTGCCCTGATATGGAACACTTTTCATAAAAAGTTAAATATTATGAATTTATAGGACATTTTATGCTCTTTTGACTGGCGAAAGTCAAGTTTAAATTATAATAACGGTTTGGGAAATGTTTACTTATTTTACTGAGGTCCTCATTTTCCATATTAGGCTCATAGTGTTCATAATATGCAATATTATATTTATATTTGAAGAAATAATCGAGCCAACACAAAGCTGATGCATTTACCTTATTATATATAATATTAGATCAAAAACTCAGACTGCGATATTTTCTTAAGAAATGACAATCGTAATCAATACTGCGATAATTGCTTTAACATTGCGGTGTTCTAAATTAGGAACGTATTCCATATTAGGGCAACTGACCCTTTATTCCAATATTAGCTGTATCTAATTTTCTCTTAAAGAGGGAATTTTTCAGGAATCTGGATAAAGAATTTTGTTTATGTCTTTTGAAACCTTGGACGTCTGCAATTTGACGAAATTCGTAAAAATGACACCAGAAAGTTTTCTAACGAATTTGAATAAACAATTCTAATGAGCTAGAAATAACAAATTTGACAGATTTAGATCACGAGAACGAGTAGATTAGACTATCCGTCAGTTAGGAAATCGTTCATGAACTGTCAGACCGCTCGGCTAAGATAGAATAGCACAACGTCATGCATAAATCACATGCGACGTGCAATGCCTAATAAGACCTCTTTCAATAATTGATGCAATTAGTTACTCAGGAAATTGGCATAAGATTGACTTGTTGATCTCTCATTAAGAAAAATAAGGAGTGGTCGAGCATTATGTATAAACAGTTTAGTAGAATCAGTTATACTCGGTTTGTACTTGAGAATCGATGGAGTACAAAAATGGCTAGAACTCGAGAAGCTGGTCAAATAGGGCATTTATATTCTTCTATCCTCTGTGTGTCCAAGAAACGGAGGAAATTATTTTATCATCTTTCGATAATTCTTGTACTTCAAACTACCACTTCTGTTCGAAAACTAGGGTTAATAACGTTGAAGACTATGTTCGTACGGACTCGTACTAATTACAAGTATTTCACAAACTAAAATTTACGTGTATTGGTCGAATTGGTTCTTTTCTAACATGCAAAGCTACCATCGCTCATAGAATACTCGTTTCTTAAAGGTCGTTTTTCGAAGGCAATTATAACGTTGGTGGGCTCGAAGAGCCTTCATTTACCCCTTCCTATTCCTTGGTCATTAACGTAACGGCACGTGGATTAGTTTTTCTAGGGTTAAACGAAATCTCCCGCCGTTAATACGGAACAAGATCCGCCTTCGTAGACCTAAATTCGGTCGCTGAATCGATGAAAAACAAACTGCTTCGCGGTCAACGGGTACAGTTTTTATTAGGCATCGCGCCGTTAACCATCACCCGTCACGGTGATTAATGGCCTATGGCTCCTTAGCGAACCACTAGATCGATTTTTGTCGCGGCTACACTGTTCTGCACTTTATACAGTGATCATTACTCCATGCGACGTTTTCATCGAAAGAATTATCGCGAACACTAATTCTACATTAAAGCTTTTTTTCCACGTTGAAACCGTGACTCGTCTTTGATACGCGGTAGTCTTCTTTCCTCCTCCTTTCAGCCTACGGCAACGTTTCACGATGAAACGAAACATGGAATTTTTGAAAATCGTACCGATTCGATGACACTCAATTAAACGATAGCAGAAACACTTTTGCAACTCGAGGCTTCGAGCGCCGCTGTTGCCGAGTTAATTTGTAATTCAATAGTTTTGTTTCGAGCAAGTATAACCGCCGTTTCCGACGTTCTATATTGAATATTCATAGTGAAATGAATATTTAATTCGAAAAGAAAACTTTAATTAGATTAATTATACGCCGCACGAAAATCGTTTCCAGAACCCCGGCGACGACCTCTAATTAATGTTATTCGATATTTTTAATTAGCCTGTCATCGCCAACTGCTCGCATTAATACCAAAAATTTTTAATTAGTATCTATATTACTATTATAATAACCGAATAATTTTATTTCGCGCGATTGCTATTCAGAAACCTCGAACGTATTTTGATAACTATGATAATTATTATTCTGGACGGTGGATAACAGAATTTGATGGGATTTGGAACAAACTAATTTTCGCAAAATCTCATTTCTGGCAATGTTTCGACGATGGAATTGTAGCTAACGTGAAATTGCAATTTTAATCAAATGTTACAAATTCGTCAAATTTTATTTGAATAATGGCGAAATGCTTTAAAGGAGACGATATATGGTAAGCTCTGAAGAAATGGTTGCCATATGCAGTTGCATACAGTATTAACTCTGGAATACTATAGTGGGTTTCAAACTTACCACTTAACTAAACTACCTTAATATATTTTTGTATAGAGCAGAGTTGCAAATTAATTGGTATGCAAAGTATCGATGACCTGATGTTTTCATTTAAACAAAAATTACAACTTAAAATAGCGTAACTTTGTTTTAAGTAGACTTTCAATACGACCATAAATTACGAAAACTCAATCGAAGACTCAAGAATTAACCCTTTGCTCTCGTATGTCACCATATAGTCGCCGTCCTACATTTTATTATTATACACATATTTACATTACTATTTCATTCTAGGGACCCTTGTTACAATGTTTTGCATATATAAAATAAAATAAATAAATAAAAGAGAAAAGATTTTACCTCTTTTTGTCCTGGCTAATTGGTTTCATTCCCGAGGTCATTTGTTCATAAAAAAATCATCAAAGTAAAATAAAAAATACAAGATTGTGTTTTCGAGGGGAATATTGAAACTATATTTCATAAATTCATAAAGGCTGGTAATAAAAAATATACCGAAGCCTCATATTTTATGTAGTGATACTAATTAAGTATTTCATGTTTTATTATGCCTCGTAATAATGAAATATTTTTTTCTTCCCATTCATTTTCTAATTAAATTATATCACACAATTACTGTGTCATTTTTAAATGCAATTCGTTGCATCGAAGTGGTGAAAATAATTTTGACAGCTTTTCCGTGCAAATCACTGTGTGTCATTACGTACCAACCCCATCGAAAAGATGAACACATCATCGTTCGATAGCAAAAGAGCCAAGGGAAACTCGACTAGCGGGGATCGCAGATCGAGTGAACGATACAGGGGCCGCGCGACGAGAGGAATTCTTGGGGCGTGCATCGTTGGAAACGTGGCGGTAAGAAGTAGATTTGACCCAACGATGCCGGCTGGGGGTCGAGGAATCGTCGTGTCAGACGATACGTCGAAGTGGATCGTGAGAGGCCCGGGCGGTTAGATTCGAATCAACGATCCGATACTCACCTATGATGGTGTGCACCCTCACGGACAGCTGGGTCCTGAGAACGATCGAGTTCTTTCGGCTGAAACAGAAAAGAAAGAACGAAATCAGCGAACATCATTTGCTGCCAGCGGGAGCAGAATCGACGGAAGCCAACCGGTGGCTGTAGAAAATTGGGTTAAGCATTCGAGGGACGAGCGGGGGGCGGGGGAGGCCACGGATGGAAAAGCATCGCGACGACGCAACCGCGTAATTATTTCTTACACCATAGACGGCCGCTAATTATTCGTGGCCGCGAATTAATCGAGCCTGCTGCTCGGGTAATTACTTAATTGGTCTGCGTGAGCGCTTGCACAACGCCGCCAGCCGTGTGTGCGTGCGTGTTTTTGCCCGTCCGTGTGCACGGAGCACGATTCGATACGAATTGGGTTAAAGTGGCTCCCTGCTACGGAATCCGCGCCGCGCACCTTGGCTAGTCGCGAACTTTAAGGCCCTGCGAACCTTCCCACGCCACGCGTCCCTGAGAAACTACGGCGACCGCGTAGACAATGGATTTCAGAGTCAGCGGAGAGAGAGAAAAAAACACACACACACACACACGGAGAAGAGGGGGAGAAGAAGGTAGGAACACACGGTCGCGGGACAGAGGAGGAAGAAGAAGACGCGAGGACGCAGCGGCGCACCGAGCGTCAAACGCATCCGGGGCGAAAAAGTCGGGTACGTACGCGCGTTAATAATGTTTCCGCTCGTTAAACGAGCGAGACCGAGCACGATTGCGCGTTCCTGCTTTTCCCACACGTGCTAGCGCGAGCAACAGGGTCCCCGCCGCGCGTAAGAACATCCCGCGAGAGCAGATCGATCCGCGATTAAACGCGATTGTGTGTCTTCGTGAAATGCTCGGGTCGAGATGAGAAATCGGTTGCCTCGGCCCACGACGTTTACGCTGCCGTGCAAAAATTACGAATTACGAATTACGCGTGTGACGTTCTGTCGAGGAACGGCTAAACGTTTAACCCTTAAGGGGACCAGGCAGTCAGAAAATCGATTTTTAAAAAAATTTTGTTTTTAAGTAATTATATTCAGAAATTAAATGCCAAAGCTTCGTGACGTTGTGGTGAAAAATAGGTATTTAAAATCGGTGAAAATCCGTAAGGGATCGGTTTTTCAACAGGTCAACAGGTTTAATATCTTCATGTAATTCTAAACTTATTACACTATAAAACAATTGCCATTTTAAAGGATCTGTTGCATGATAAGTGGAAGAGCCCAATCCTTAGCTATCGATAATGCACCAATCGCAAAATCATTCGAAATTGTTGTGAACATTTCTTTTTCCCAGATATTTATCAAGACATCAACAACACTAATAGGACACGAATAAGTAACTCTGCATCCGCGCAATCGGATAACAGCCTCCAATTTAGAGGTTTCTAAGATGTTGGGACGTTTCACGAGTTTCAGGTATTTCGAGAAATCTACATCATCTGTAGCCCCTGAAACTCCTGGGAATCGTTTAAGATCCTCGAGATGTTTGGAACTGCTCTAGATCACTGGGTCCGACCTGAAATCCCCGAAATTCTCGGAATCTCTGAAGCCCTTCGAGACTTTCGAGACACTTGAAACTCACGGAGGCGCCAAAACCACTAGATCCGAACTTCTTATCAGATTGCACCACTAGAAGGCTACCTGTATAATGTACCGTAAATCACGGACGGTATCGGTACAATGAATCCAGAATGATCTGTATCGAGTATTATCACAACCTAGAATAGTGTGTTTCGAAGTGTTTGAGATCGTCTGTAGATGCTTCTACGTGTCTGAGTTTATGTATCGAATCCCACGAAGAGCGACTCTTTTCTATCAGATTCTAAGCTTTCTGAGCAGTGTTTTTTATATCCAACCTATGCAATGTGAGACACTTTCAAACTGCATCAAATCTCACAGTACTCTTTCGAACACAACTTTGAGTTCCACACGCGACGAAACTAATAGAATTCGACTTTGCTGGTCGCTATTTTCAAACGTTGGAGCACGTCCATTATTTCCAAGAACCCAAGCAGAACACAGAACGAGTTCCGTCGGTGGAACACAAACGTCAAACCAATTCCCGCGACGCGAAACTTGAAATCACTTAAATTCGTTCCATAAACTTCATTTCCACGACTCATTTCCCGTCGCTCGTTCGCAACACCGTCAAACGAGACCGCCGCCCGGCGCGGTAAATCGAAAATCGCGCCAAGTCATCCGCGTCGTTCCGTCCAGAAGGGCGCGCGACGTCCCGACGCCATCAAACTTTCGAATAATTCGACGTCACCGGGACCCGTCGGCCCGTGGAAGATTAAAGGCGCGACGTTAATACGGGAATTATGAAGTTTGTTATTGCGATTGAAAAATATTACCAAGTTTTAAGCGATTCTGGAATCGCATCACAGCGAGGGCAGAAGGGGGGGTAACTGGCGAAACTTTTGATCCGCGTCGTTTGCCTCGCGGCCCCCACCAAGCTATCCCGTAAACAAACCATTTCCATGAGAATCGAGGAAAAAGAAGCCGTAGGAACGGGGGTCGTCGTACTCCCTTAAGAGAGTTGAAACGCGGGGGCAGAGGTTGCTCGAATAAATTAAAAACTTTCCGGCACGGGGCCAAGTTCAATGTCGCCCGGATCTTCGACGTCGTCGTGGTCGTCGACGGTTTACGTTTCCACGTAAACACGCCGCGGCCTGGCTTCTTTTCTTTCGCGTCCCACTATTCAATCCGCGCTGGCGTAATTGCCATGTATTGTCCCGCGGTAATTGCTCGAGAACAGACGTCAACGAACACGCCGGGGACGGTGCTCGTCCACCGTAGAAAGTAGAATTTCAATCTCGCGAGAATTGAGATAGAAATTTCGAAAGTTACGCGGAGGCGGAATCGGATTGAATTTGCTCTTCGCCACGGACCCGCGGAACGCTGAAATTTAGATGAACTAACAAGAGTACCGCGGAAACTGTAACGCTCCGGTTTTAATGAACCTTTGCACACAAATCTGCAACAATAAATATCACTATTCGACGAAACATATCAAACGGATCTCTGGCCACGCATTATATTTGCGGTAAAGAATTTTTTTATGAAAAGTACGTAGAATTTCGGGGGTATGTATATTCACAAAAAATAATTGTAATTGACCCCCGCAACCGAAAATAATTTTTCCAGAACGATTTGAAATGTTTTCTTTTCAGGGTAACCAGACAGTTGTGGTCAGACATATTTTCAGTAATGAATTTTTTTTTCGAAAGTGAGTAGGATTCTGGGGGTATGTGTATTCACCAAAAGTGATTGTAATTGGCCCTTCTAGCTAAACATAATTTTTTTAGAACGATTTGGAATTTTATTTTCGCCGAAAAATTGAGGCACTTTCCTGAATTTTTTTCTCGAAAATGCGTAGGATTTCGAAGGTACGTGTATTCACAAAAAGTGATTGTAATTGGCCCCTCTAGCTAATCATAATTTTTTTAGAACGATTTGGAATTTTTTTTTCGCCGAAAAATTTAGGCACCTCCCTGAATTTTTTTCTCGAAAATGCGTAGGATTTCGAAGGTACGTGTATTCACAAAAAGTGATTGTAATTGGCCCCTCTAGCTAATCATAATTTTTTTAGAACGATTTGGAATTTTTTTTTCGCCGAAAAATTTAGGTACTTCCCTGAATTTTTTTCTTGAAAATGCGTAGGATTTCGGGGGTATGTGTATTCACCAAAAATGATTTTAATTGACCCCTGCAATTGAAAATAATTTTTTCAGGACGAATTATTGACATTATATTTTCGAAGCCTGACTATAATGTCTGCTCTAACACTGATCCTCTTTTCTTCTTGGAATACGTTCTATCTAATATTATTAGCGAATTAAAATTGTGGAACAAAAATATAGTGTTCCACTTAAGAAACATAGAGTGGTTTTAACATAGTTATGAGAAATTAAAGGGGAGATCAATAAGTGAATATAAATTAACATTACAAATGTGACTGTATACTTTAGTGTGTCTTTTCATAATACACACGGCCGTACTTCGAAGGTTAATTGACTCTTCATTCTCCACTTCGTCCTCGTGTTCTCTTCCCCTTTCTCGTTTTCGAAAGCTAAATTAATTATTCTTGAATTTTCAACCTACAGTCACTTGAAACTAAAGACACTAAAAGCCAGCATATTCGGAATTCCGTCGTCTATATCCATTCTCCAGGTCACACAGAAAATCCCGCAATAGCGCGCTTGTACTAAGCTTCCACCCTCGTATTATCGCGAATAGTAATTTGGCTAACACCGTTTTCAGCGTAATATTATTTCCGTTCTTCTACTCTTCACTAATCACGAATTTCAAATTCCCAAGTTCACCAAGAAACTCCAAAACAAAGTAAACTCATCTCCTTTCTTTTTCATTCCCTTTCATCGCTGCATATATCGGCCGCCATAGTGGATTTAAAAATAATTCGCCAATAAGGCGTTCCGACCTTGTCTCGAGTGTAACGTTTTGTTTCAGAATTAAAGTTGTTGTTGGCAAGAAAAGATTTTCTTGGCTTCCAATCACACTACCCGCGAGGTCGCAAATCAGAAATTTTGAACAACTGCTGTAAATTGAGCGTTTCGCTGAAGATTCAAAGTTTAGGGCAATTGCTCCGTCATCTTATTTATGTGACACCTTCTCGTCACGAAGAACACTATTACGAGGAATATGTAACACAAAAATAACACTGTTACAAACATCATGCATCGAAATATCGTTGGCAAAAGTATCTCGTGACAAATAATCACAAGCAACAATATTGCACCAATGTGTGGGGATTAATGAATCAAGCGTAAATATACCATGAATTCTCACTCCACCCACATTTTCATTCTCTAACACACTCAGACGTATTACTGTACTGATTCTATTAATATTCACAACCGAAGAATGTGTTATGTGTAATGCATTCGCTAGTCAAATTAAAATTGTTACGCGGTCCGTAGTGGATAGTTTTCCATTCGAACGATGGCGGAGGAACGTGTCCGGCGCACGGTTCCGGAAAAACCACCGGAAGCGTCAATTTAACGCCACTTCGTAACG